TTCTTTTGTAATGATGTGCATTAATACCTCTGTGCCATAATACTCGATCCTTCAATACGATTTTTCATAAGTTTTTGATAATATGACTAAAATAAAATACATTTTTATGGTTAACCTTTTTTTACCTTTTTCTTTATAATTGCTTTTAATTCTTACGATGTATTGTTTTAATTTTTTTTAATTTAGTTATACTTGTTTTTTATTTCTTCTTTTTTAAACCAAAGTATTTCATGTTTTTATAGACTTTTTACTATTTTTTCAATTTAGTCGATTTCTGTTTCTATTCAAGCTTGCATTCACACATTTAGCGTTTTTCTAAAACTATGTACGCGAATTACAGTATATATGATTTTTTGAATAAATTCAAAACACAAGTGAAAAATAGAATTAAAATACTTGGCACAAAAAAAGTCAGTCGGCATTACGGTCCGCCAAAAATCTAAAAACTAATGCCAGCCGGCATTACAATGAGCCGTGTCCCACTGGTCGTCGATCCACATTTTGACACGTGACAAATAATTCTTTAATTACTCCCCTTCGAGACTGTTCTGCTCAGAAAGCGCGCCATGGGTGTTCCAACCACAACCACCGACAACACACTCACATCCCTAAAGACCTCACGAAAACAAACAACCTCGCATCGTATAGCTTTAGGCGATGTCACACAAAATAACATGGGGCAGTTAAAACGCCTAAATTCTGTTCTGTTTCCGGTGCATTACACTGATAGATTCTATAAAGATGTACTAGAGGTGGGAGAGTTTGCGAAGTTGGGTGAGTGAATTTTTTGCGTGTTACGCGGTTTCTTTAAGGAATTTTTTTCGGCATAAGGTAAGTGTTGAATGAGGCTCTCGCATGGAAATTCGATTTTTATTTACATAAAACTAATTTAACCTATGTATATGTGGTGATTTTTAGCTTTTGGTTGATAGAAAAATGGTTATTTATTAATAAACAAACTGAATGATGATTATTGTAATATGCAGCCTATTTTAATGATGCCTGTGTGGGTGGAGTATGCTGCCGCAAAGAACTTATCGCTGGCACACCCGAAAAATCGAAACTCTATATCATGACATTGGGAGTGTTAGCACCATATCGAAATCTAGGTCTAGGTAAAATCCACTATTAGCTTGCTTAACTTTAATCTTTGTTTACCTAATATCTGAATTTCATAATTATATGGACATTTAGGCACAGCCCTTCTAAAACACATATTAGAACACGCGCACTCCATCAACTCATCCCCTACACCACAGAATCATCCAAAATTCACAGAGGTTTATCTGCATGTGCAGACGTCAAACAACGAGGCGATCTCCTTTTATAAGAAATACGATTTTGAGATTGTTGGCACTATCCAAGATTATTATAAGAAAATCACGCCACCTGACGCGTATATTCTAAGTAAGAAACTTTTGGTGGAGTAAGACGGTTGAAATAGTGTTATCAATTGGTAGTTGATAATTGTTTAGTTAGTTGAGTTACCAGCTGATTATACAATTAACGATTAACTAAACAATAACAATTAATTATAATTGTTTAATTGCAATTATATTAATAGCTGTCCTAATAATTAAATTTATTCAATTCAATTTTTTTCTTAAATATCTAAAACGAATTTTAAAACGACAACGAGCTTCCAATTCAAATAATGAGCCTAATATTTGAATTGGCACCAAGCTAACTAGTTTTGTTTGAGAGTGTGAATAAAACTGAAATTTCCTATATTATTGTATCAATTAGATTATCGGCTGATCAACTACAGTTGCATCAATCGATTGATAACACTAGGTTGAAACATTAAAAGATATGGATAATGGAAAGGATATTTATTTTCAAGCATGATTTTTTATCTATTCACTCGCAAGAAAATTATTTTAACATTCATTCATGAATATGTGTAAGTGATATACGCACAATATTATATAAGATCACACAGGTACTTTCATGCACACAGACCAAATATATCAAAAATAATTAATAAAAAAATGCTAAAATTATATAATAGTATAACAATTATAATGATTAAAGTCTAAGAAAAATTGCTGGCAAGAAAACTATATTACAAATTCCTTCGCGTATGCATAAACAAACAAAACAAATAAATAAATAATTCTAATGATGACAATCGTAGTAATAGTAATACAAAAAGAATATGTATGTATAAATATTTATATATATATATATATATATATATAGAATAAATTTAGTAGAGAATGAATATGAAAATGTATTAAAAAAAATCGAATTACTAATTAGACAATTTCTTGTATATTAAATTATTTTTCACCCCGATTCAAGAATTTAAAGTCTTTTAATTTCTTAAATTTCTTCTTTTTTCCACTCTCGTCCGGGAATTCTGTCGCATCATCTCCGCTTGAATCTTTATCAGACTCAAGTGGCCGCATATCTCTTATTATTTGATCGTAGACACTTTTTAGTACGGCCATCTTTAGGATCATGTCGTCTCTTTGTAGTAAGGTAACCGGGGGACTTGGTGACTGCGAGGGTATCGGCGACGGGGGATGACTATTCGTGACGTCTTGCTGTGATGCATTTAATGATTCGGTACCACCTGTCAATGATTCAGAAATGAGATCGTTATCAAGTTCACGTAGTCGTTTTAATATTGAATCGTGCATTCGCCATAATAGTGTTCGTTCAACGTGCTGCGGGACTTTTTGTTGATATGGGCTAATTTTAATATGATTTGCGTTATTGGTTCGGTTGTCATCCTGTGTGACGGTGAATCCGAAAGCGGGCCATTCGCCAACATGAAAAATATTCAACAAATTCAATCGACCAAGCGTTGTCGGTAAATTCATCAGGGAGCTATTTCCCGACAATCGAATCTCACGTAACGCATGACAATCCCCGATTGATAACGGGAGATCGGCAAGTAAATTATCGGAAATTTCCAAAATTTCCAAATTTTTCAGACGTCCAATCGACTTTGGAATGCGTTTTAATTGATTCTTGGAAGCATACAACTCGCGTAAACTTTCCAACTGTTCAATTTGCTCTGAGAGATCCGATATACGATTATTGGAGATTTTCAAAATCACCAATTTATCGAGCCCGTCGAGTTTCGGGATCACTTCGAGCGCATTAGACGATAAATCTAAAAATGTTAATTTTTTATATGCTAACCCGAGCTCAAAAGAAATTTGACTAAGACTACAATTCTGCAAATAAATTTTTTTGATAAGTGGCAATTTTTTAAGTGACTCTGGTATGGTGAGCAACGATGGATTATTGTTTAATTTGATCTCGGTCAGCTTCACGAGTTTGCCGAGCTCCTCGGGTAACACTACAAGCCTATTATTTGACACATCTAGATCAATAAGTGCTGTTAGTTTCCCTATATCGGCTGGAAGTGTGGATAATCGATTTTCGGAAAGATTAAAGTTCACCAGACGTGATAATTGTCCAATCTTTAGTGGGATTGATTCCAAGAGATTACTATGCACATCTAGTTTCACGAGTTTCGTGCACCTTATAATGTCATTTGGTAACTGCGATAACTTATTCTCCGAAATATCAAATTGCGTAAGGTTTTCTAGATCCTTCAGGTTCTCCGGTAATTGTGACAATAAATTGCCACGTAATTCCAATATTTGCAGTTGTCGTAGTGCACAAATAGATGCTGGTAAATTGAGAATATGATTGTTATTTAGTCGTAGAACACTAAGACTACGTAATCGTCCAATTGCATCAGGTAACGACGTCAGATCGTTATTATTCAAATATAATAATTTCAATTTCACTAATCTACCAATATCAGGTGATAAATTGTCCAAATAATTATTATTTACACGTAGTTCACGTAATGTTTTCAGCTTTGTCATACTTGTGATATCCAATAGGCCGTTATTATCGAGATTCAGTCGCCGTAGATTTCGCAGTCGTTTGAATTTTAATCGTGGATGAAATTCCGAGATGCAATTATTACTTAAATCGAGGATCTCTAACTTGGTCAGTTTTAAAAGTTCTTCGGGTAAATCACGTAACGAATTTCGATCAAGGTAAAGCGCCTTTAGATTATGAAGTCCGTCAAAGAAATGGCTAGGGATGTAGGAAAGATGATTGTTGGATAAACGTGCCGGTCCTTTATCTGATTCTGCGATGTTTACTAATGCGTCCCATGCGGATTCCACTGGCCAATCTGCCCGTGACATTTCTGATTCGGCAAACTGTGAATCGGAAAATGTTGTGCTCAATGCAGAGGGATTTTCGGAATTAAACGATTTTGCAAAAGAAGACATCCGCGATAACGATTTCTTAGGAGATGATGGTTCAAATTCAGATGCTGTATATAAGCTAGATTCTTGAGCTTGAGACTGTGTAGCTGATACGTCACCCTCCGCTCCATCATCCAAAGTATGAATATCGACCTTTGAACTTGCATCACTGATATCATCATCATCGTCGTCATCATCATCCTCATCGTCATTATGATTATTGAAAGCATTCAAAAGATCAGATCCAACATCTTCAAGTATTCCAATTTCTAATGTAGGAGATGATGACACGTCAAGAGGAGTCGACTCCTTGGAAGTCGCAATGTTTGATTTTTGACTCTTCTCGTCGTGTATAGAGGAATGTGACGGGCGAAAACTCTGAACTAATTTTTTGGTAAATAATTTTAATGGAGATTTGTCATGTTTTGAATGTTCATTAGTTTCATTTGTTGTCGCTAATGTTGTAATGTTATTATTGTTATTGCCATTAGCGATTGTTGCAGCAGCACTACTCTCACTGATAACCTCTAAATTTGGTTCTATTCGAATCTTTGCCGCATTTTCCTGATTTGATTTCGAATTTGATGAATCATTATTTTGATCCTGATTGTTATTATTAGTGGTAATAGTAGTATGGTTAGTATTATTAGTAGTATTAGTATTGCTATTAGTATTATTAGTATTTACAGAATTTTCCTTCCGTAACAGCAATGAATCTTTACGTCGAGGAATATTCAGAAGAGGATTTAAATTCGTATTTGTATTTTTTATTTTCGAGATTTCTAATGGTGTTGATTTTGATAATGACGACGACGAGGCTGGTATAGTAGCATTATTAGTCTCATTCCCATTAAGGGAATCTATTTGACTAGTATCGTTATTTGTGTTATCATTAGTATGATCACTAGTATCATTATTAGCATTTTCAGTGTTATTAGTAGTAGATGTATTTATAATTGCAGGTTTTCCTACAATAGTCGACCTATTTGAATTGTCTCTTCCCACAATAGTCGATCTATTTGAATTGTCTCTTATAAACATTGAAGAGGTATGCGTACTTATTGTTCCAGATACATTTTTTATCGTATCATCGTCTGTTCGTTCTGAGGAGTATTCCGAGTATTTTGCTATTGAGTCTCTTGGCGGTGATTGTGAAGGTAATGAAGGATGCTGTGATCGTTGTTGATTTGGTGTTGAAGATGATGATGAGGAAGTCACACCGACATCTATTCCAAAGTAATCATCGCGTTCATGTTGTTGTTTTTTATTTATTATTGATTCCATTGTAGTGGCAGCAGTTGTAGCAGTCGTCGATTCCATCGTGGAAAATGGCGATTCGTCGTCGTCTTCCGGAAATAATGTCCGCGATGAAATCGAAAGTTCCAGACTTTGGACTGCTAAATTATTTTCTTCTTGTTGTTGCTGCGGTTGTTGTTGTTGCTGCTGCTGCTGCTGCTTATCTTCTTTTTGTATGTGTTTTGGGTTGAGACTATCTTTATTTAAACCGGTATTATTATTATTATTATTATTATTATTATTATGATTATTATTATTATTATTATTATTATTATTATTATTATTATTTAAATTGTTGTTATTATTATTATTATTATTACCCCAAGGAGAATGCACCAATTTAGAGGTGGCCTTGGGTACCGATAATAATCCCGACGGAGATGTTCCTTCCGTATGCTTATTATCTAAAGATGATGATGATTTTGACGCTTTACGAGGTTTTAATTTATTTATCAGTGTATTAAAACGACGTACTTTATGAGGAGTATTTTTGGAGAGATTTGAACTATGGTTTGTGATATTGCTATCTGTATTGTCAATATGTCCCGTTGAATAATTATTGCTATCCAGTTCTTCTAGTTCTTCTTCTCCTTCTTCTTCTCCTTCTTCTTCTCCTTGTTCCTCCTCTTCACCACCACCACCGCCTCCTACTTCTTCTCCGCTTTCTTTTTCGTTAGCTTGTTTTCTACCTCGAGTACTTAGTCTACGAAATAAATATGACACACTGGAATTTCTTGACGGATAATTACCAATGTTTTGAGCTTCGGAATCACTTTCTACTCCTTCTACCACAATAGTTTCCTCTGATTTCGTAGACTCGTGTTTCGATTTTCTGAACTTACTTAGACTCAGCCAGTGTGAGAGCTTTGTACGCATCTCACGCCCAGCCAGTTTTCTTTTTTCGTGATTGAAATCACTAGTGGCAGTATTATTTGTACGGGTAGGTTCTTGTTGTTGTGTAAATAGAGATTCGAAGATTTGTTGTGGAGGTGGTGGGTGAAGCGATGCGGACGAAGACGACGACGCGTTTTGACGTTTCTTTGAACCAGGAAAAGTATAGGCGGCGTTCAGATTCTCGAAAGACAATGAACCAGTTGTCTTTCTTTTTGTTGTGGTTGTGGTTGTGATTGGTGCCACAGAACTATTTTTTGAGAGCGAGTGACCTATTGCTTCGGCGCCTGAAAAAGTTATTCGAGTTCGTGGTTTGTCTTTTGGTGGCGGTGTTGGAGACTGGTCGTCGTCCTCTTTTGGTGGAAGGGGGGGTGGAGGTAATGATAAGGATGATGCTATTGAATCTCTTGGTGATATCGGAGATTTCGTTTCTGATAAGGAAAGATTAATGTTGTGGATTTTTAATGCTTTTACGTCTTCCACTTCTTCAACTTGTGCCATTGAGCTGGTGTCGCTCAAATCTTTTTGTTGTTGTCTACCTGATAGATTACTTTGTGCACTCTCTCCTTTTGATAATAATAGTGTGTTGTTAGATTCTACTATTTTTGTATATTTTATTATTAAGATAATGTCGAATAAATCCTCCTTCCTACTGGTATTCTAGCATTTTTTGGTTATCTATCTCTATTCATCGATAAATATATATTTGTAGAAATGTATTTTTAATGATTGATTGTGTACTGTTTGATTATTATTGTTGTTACGTATGAGGACCCTTGGCTTCTGTCTCTTCTTTTTGTTTTGTTGTTTGTTGTTGTTGTTGTTGTTGTTGTTGTTTTTTGTTCCCTTCGTTGTCTTCGAAATTAATTTAATGTTGATGTAGATAGAAGTCGGGCCTGTTTCGTTTCCTTCTTTAAGGAAAATTGGAAATAAAATGTCTATTTTTTTTTAATTATTTTTTATATGACGTCCGAGACGAAGAGAAATGAGTGAAATAAAACACTGTAACTGGTAATAGTTTTAATAAAATTATGAACATCCCTCGTGCGACCCAATTGTCGCACATTTACCCTCTTGGTAGTTTTGGTGGTACTTGATTATTTCCCGTTTTTTCGTAAAATGGCAATTCTATAACGATAAGCAAAAGCATGCTCTTCATTGTATTTGTAAAAGAAGTACAAAAAAATAAATATGGTTTCTATATATATACAGTAAACTCTATATCGATATACTTAAAATAATGCTGTGTTGTCCAGACATTTCCCCTCCCCGCCCCACCCAAATCTTGTGAGACTTCCATTTCGGGGTTTCGTATGGCAAACGATCAAAACTTGTGTGGCGCGATCGGGAATAATGAAAATCCTTGAACCCGGATTTTTGTGTAATCAATTTTTTACGGTGCAAGTCATTTTTAAGCAAGTTTAATCCAAATTCTAATTCATATTAACTCACTAAGTTACGTGCATAGTTTTTTTGTTTACATTACAATGTGTTGATTGTGTTCATCTGGCGTCAGACAAAAAAAAATTTAACGATACTACGATAAGGTTAGGAAGCCGTTTGTACTTAACGAGCCAAACCTCCTTTTTATAAAGGAGATTATTTCACAATCACAAATGATTAATAAGAGATATACTCGTTGATAAGGAAACCCCGAAAATTTGTGTATTCGTCGAATTCTTTATTTTAAATTTGATTTAATTGAAATTAAAGTGTTCGAATGTGTGTTGTAATAATGTAAATAATGATAGATTTTACAAGTTTTATTGGAATTTTAAGAATTATTTTACAATCAAATAAAGAGTGGGAAGGATGAAATAAAGTACATTTTTAAAACGGAATTGAATCAGGGTTTCCCAAAAAAGCAGATGATAAAGTAAAAGATAAGTCCCGCTCGCAAGACATCAATAATAAATAAATAAAGAATGCACAAGTCTATATAATAAATGATGTTGATGTTAGAATAACAAGCTTAGAGTTTTGAATGAAAATGAATGAGTAAAAAGAGGAAGGTACTTCGAAATATGTATACATATTATACAGTCTCTATTATCAAAGGATCGAATAAAAGGAGTGTATGTGTGTTTTTTGGTGAGAAAGGAGAATAAATAAACAAATCACAACGTATATATAATAATAATAATAATAATAATAATAATAAACATGGGACATAAACCACAAATAAAAGATAAAAAAGAATGTTCAGTTCCAAGTATCATCACATTCAACACTAAGATGATCACATTCATCAAAGTCAAGAACTTCCATCACAGTTTTCGATTCACGTTGCAACAGAATCACCGCCTTTGTATCATTGAAAGCCAATCGCCATACAGCATTTCCTTGAGTCGTTAACTCGCGGATAAAGCTTCCGGTTTGCACATCCCATAATTTGACATGTCCGTCATTCCCGCCAGATACAATACGTTTGTCGTCGAATTGTAGACAGGTAACGGAGTTGTCGTGCGCGGCGATACGATGAACACATTGATTAGTTTCGAGATCCCAAATTCGAATTGCGCCGTCGCTTCCGCCTGTTACTAGTGTGGATTCATGGAGTTGCATCTGACCTACGAGAGATGTGTGACCTTGTAGTACGCCCAGACATCGACCTGTTTGCGCTGACCAAACACGAGCTGTTGCGTCGAGAGATCTAAAATAAATTAGGATGAGGTTTGAGATTCCGTTTCTAGTGTAATTTTTTTTTCAAAAATTTGACGACATACCCAGTCACGATTTTTTGCCCATCGAACGCAATCGAGTATATTTGTGAAAAATGTCCTTGAAGGACATGTAGACATTGTCCTGTCGACATATCCCAAACCTAAAAAAAAATCATTCATATTGCTTAGATGCGATAAATAGAGGTAATAATAAGCGGCAAAAAAAAGCTTACCCGAGCAGTGCAATCATAACTTCCAGACACAATCAAATTCTCATATATTTCTATACATCGTACGCTCGCTTGATGCCCAGCAAGCAAGTGAAGCATCCGACCTTCTTCAATATCCCAAATACGAAGTGTTGTGTCTCGAGACCCGCTAACAGCTATCTTACTATTTTTCATCTTTAATGAACGAACAGTAGAAGTGTGACCATGAAGAACATGTTTACATTGCCCAGTGATAAGATTCCACACTCGTACATCTCTGGATTTTTCAAAAAAATCGATTTTTAGTCCCGGATATAGAGAGAGAGAGAGAGAGAGAGAGAGAGAGAGAGCGAGATGACGAAAAATATCAAATTTACCTATCACATCCTCCAGATACTAAGATTTCATCGAAATACTGTAATGCCCAGACTCCACCTTCATGACCAGTCAACGTTTTCACATATCTTCCATTTGATGCGCCAAATACATGAATTTTTTTGTTGTCCATGCCGACAACGATAAAATTTTCACACATTTGCAAAGAAGTAACCACGCCCGAATCAGGACTTATATGAGTCTTTAGTGTCCTTCCTCCATTTTTCCAATTCGATTCCACGACATACCGTCGTCGAAAATGATCTTTATAAGAAAATCTCACACATCGAGAATTTGAATTAGAAGATTCTAGTAATAGGCTACTACTATTATTACTATTGCTGTTACATCGTTTATTGTGAAAGTAATAATGGTGGCGTGCACACAAATTCTTCCAGGTATAGTCATCATTGAGCAAAGAACGCCAAAACTTCGAGACACTCGAAGCTCTCGAAAGAGTCCTTGGGTCATCAATAAATGAAAGAATGTGCAGACTAATTTCTATTGGAAGGTCTTTTAAGAAGTCGCGTTTCAAGCGTGGCGAGATATAGTTCGAGACAAACACCAACTGTTCGGTGTTACATGTGTTTAATAGTTCGGCGAGGAGTCGTTGTCGTTGCAGATTATCCATGTTTTGAAAGCCCATTCGAACTGTACGATTGAAATCTTCAGCTTGGGTCGATATCATTGTGGTTATAGTCGGGGGACATGTGCTTCCTGCTTCTGGTAATTGTGGAAAGAGTTGTGGTGAGGGCGCCGGTGTTGGAAGACTGTGGAATGCTGCGATGGATACCCAGGGAACGTGGGGCGGAGGAGTGCGCTGCATCTTTTTTTTTTTGGTACCAACTTCTCTTTTTCTTGGCCTATTTCTTCGAGTCTACTAGCTTATAGAGAACCAACTTTTACTGTTATTATTATCGTTTGTCAATCCAGTGAATGAAGACAGTTTATCAAGAATAAATGTGTGTGTAATGAGATGAAGCGCGAAACCAAATCTCGTTTAACGAAATTGGAATAAATGATAAAATGTGTGTGTGTATGTATGTACGTGTGTGTATAAGGAGAAAGAAAAAAGATGGCTTTTTATCACCCTTGTTGATCAAAATCTATTTTAGGTTTAAAAGCCACATTGCATAGATTCAATATATTCAATATTCAAGTTTATTTTGAAAAATAATTTAAGCAAATAAGCAAATAATTTTTATTGGATTAATTGAAATAATATCAAACCATACATCGTTGAGAAAAATATATGATCATATAAAATATCGAAAATTATATATCGCACCAGTGGTGTTCAACACCTTGTCACGTGATTACGTAATTTTCGATCTATGATTGGCTAATATAAGTCGGGCCAGCATTATTAAATAATGCCGGCCCAAATTTCCACTTTGTTTAGCTTTTTACGCGTCACATTTTTTACGCCACGTCTTACGACAATACTCAGCTTTCTTTTTCTCTTCCACCCTAGTATTCTCCTCCTCTTCTTCCGCTTCAGCTCTTAGCTTCTCTTATGAAGCATCCTGTAATAATGTTGAGATATGTGAAATACCATTAGAGCCGGTTGTTTATAATTATAATAGTGTTTATAACTCCAATCTAACTAAAAATCCAGAAGATATCTCTAGCAAGATTCTTGAAGATGAAAGTTATAATGATCAAGAAGCCAAAAATATATAACTTTACCCATTAATACTAGAGATGGCTTTTGAAAGTTGAAAAAAACTTAATAAGTATATAGTACTTAAAGATGTTATGTTTTTTATTAAAATGAATTTAATATGCTTTTTTATTCTAAGATGACTTGAAAATCATGAATTAAAGTAAGAGTTTGCATTTATAATCACATAGTTTATCTTAGTAATATATCTATATGTATATAAAAAATCAAAAATATGTATAAAAAAAAGATACATATAAAAGAGAATTATAATACAAATCATAATACTGATAATTATAAGTCTTATATTAATATTTATTATTGAAAGATTAATAATTTAATTTATATCATAAAGATTGAAAACTAATATAATCATAAACTTGTAAATAATATTATTATTCTTATATTCTATTATCAAAAACTTATTATAAAGATATATAATAATATAAGATTACTTATATTATATAAAATATATTTTGATATAATTATTAAAGTTTTGTAACAGAAAAATATATATATATTTATAATATTTATAATAATATTTATTTTATTTATTATAAAAATTATGTTAAAAATGAAATTAATTTAATATGTCTTGAGTTTATAAAGTAAAAACAGAAAAATCTAACTTTTTATATTATTATAATATAGATTTTTTATATATAATTTATTAATATTAGTTATTTTATACTTGTATTTTTATTATATAATTATTTAGTTATATTTTATTAAATAATAATTAAGATAATATTATTGATAGATATTTTTAGATAGTTTTACAAGCATAATATTCATAATAAAATTATCATAGCAAAGTTAATAAAATTATTATAGCAAAACTAGTAATACTATCATAATAAAACTGATATTATAATACTAATAAAAGTAGTATTTAGATCATAATAAAAGTATCATTTATAAAATCTCTAAAATATATAAAAGTAATATATCTTAATAAGAAATTAAAAAATTAAAAAAAATATGTTAAAATTTATAAATTCTTATCAAATTAAAATCTATAATTAATTGATTAAGTTTTATTATATAAATATTAAATATATCTTTTAAGAATATATCTTTAATAAATTAAAATTAATTTATAAGAATAAGAAAATTCTAATTTATATTTATTATTTAAGTTAATTTTTTAAACTAGTTATTTAATATTAATAATAGTGATAGGAGTCGTAACTAGTTATAACTCTATCATAATTCTTTGATTAGCTATCATAACTCTATTACAATTCTTTAATTAATTATCACAAGCTATAATTAGTTAAGGAGTCATCTTTAATAATATATATTATAATTTATTTTATATTATTAGAGTTTGAGAATTATTAATATTAAATAATATTAAAAAAATATATTAATTTTTTTGAAATAATAATTATAATAATTCTTGTAATAGATTTATTTAAGTTAATAAATTTTCTTTAGCAATAATCTTTTAATTAAATTATAAGTTTCAAATAATGATAAGTATTATAATAATTATAATATAATAATAATATATTTATTATAATATTATAATTTAAAATTACTAAAATTATAATTAATTATAATTTAGTAATACTTATTTATTATAATATTATAATAATTAAGAAGTTATTTTTAGTTTTAAAAGAAATAAAGATTTATTATATTATTTTTAATAATATTATTATAAAATTAAATTTTTATATTAAATATATAACCAATCACTTATTCATATAGTGCAGTAAATATGATGCAATATATAATTTAGTCACAGTATATGGTGAAGTAATTGCCAATTACAGTGGTCCCTTTCTATTATCAACTTTTCAGATATCAACACCTCTTTATTAGTAATATTAACTCTGGTTCCAAATTTTATAGATGTATATTCTCTTTTAAATATCAACTTTTAATATTATCCCTCCTTGATATCACTATCAACATAAATTCGAGTTTTTATATATATAATACTCTCTTTCAAATATCAACTTTCATATAATAATTTTTTATTATTTCAAAAATTACTTTATTTTTTTGTTTTGGTAAATAATATTGATTGCCTTATTATCTCAGTTACTCTTATGATACTATCAAAAATTCTTTTGGTAATCTCACATAGTTATCAATCTTTTTTATTTATATATTAATCTTTATATGATAATACAGTTTTTACATCTCTTTTTCTTTCTCCCTATCAATATTATAAATTCCCATCTTTTTCACTTTGATAAAATCAGTAAGCTACAAGAATACTCTAGCATTTACATTTCCATCTTCCTCATGCAATATAAATCTGTCTTATGATGATGCATTGATCTACCTTTGATAACATAATCATGCTTTTTTTTTGTACCCTTGTGGCACTCCCTACCTTGAGTAAATACAAATCATATTTCTCTCCCCTGGTCATTATTATTGATCAATATCTCTGATAATATAAATTTGCATCTGTCATAGTCATCATTGTCTTTGTTACTATTATAACTGTTATTTGATTTGTTACTATCATAGTATTATTGTTTCATAGTGTATTACTGTCATAGTATCATTATCTTTATTATTATTGTTACCCACATATAACATGAATAAAGAGATAGAATGACCACAGAAAAGGCAAATACAATTAACTTTAAAGTCCAAGCAAGAAATATATTAACAAAAGCAAGCAAACCCAAGCCTCATCATCAATCAACTTGCTGAAAGATATAGTTATGACAGAAGCACAGTTTTGAAGATTTTGAAGACAAAAACAGAATGAATATTGATGCAACTGACATAATCTCAAGCAAAAAAAAAGGCTAATCAATCAGTCAAATTTGAAGAATTAGAAATAGCTTTGACTATTTAGATGCAATGAGTTCTTTTGAAAAATGCAATCTTGACTGATGAACTTATACAACTTCAGGCAAAGAAATTTATAAGATTGTTAAATATTTCAGAGAATGACTTTAAAGCGAGTAATGGTTGGCTTGACAAGTTCAAAAAGTGACATGACATTCAATAATTCAAGATCCAAGAAAAATCAGAAAGTACTCTAATTGAGCTTCTTTCTAGACACAGACAGGAATTAGTTGAATTGCTCAAATAATATAGGCCAGAAGATGTCTACAATACTGATGAAACTGATCTCTTTTTCCAGATGATATCTGACCAGACACTTACAATATAAGTTATCAAAGAAAAAAAGAAAGACAAGAAATGAATTATCATTCTGCTTTGTACGAATGCAGTTGGTACAGACAAGCTTAAACTATTGGTTATTAGGAAGTTAGCAAAATCACGATACTTCAAGAACATCTCAAAGAAAAATCTTGATATTAAATATGAAATGAATAAGAAGACTTGGATGAAAAGTGATATTTTTGAGTATTGGGTAAAATCTCTCAATAATATCTTCCAGCAAAATCATAGATGAATTTTGCTTTTAGTTGATAATACTGCCTCTCATATAGTTAGAGAGGAATCAGAACATGTCAAAATCTATTTTCTGCTGCCTAATACAACTGCTCATTTACAGCCATGTGATGTTGGTATAATTAACTTCTTTAAAACTCACTATCAAAAATTATACCTTCAGCATATTTTAGAAGTAATAAATGCCAAAGAAGAAATATCTCATCTAAATATCAAGAAAGCAATTGATTTTACTGTGGAAGCATAGAAAAATATAACTTCTCAGACAATTATCAATTGCTAGTAGAAAACTTGCATAGTATCAGTAGATGAATAGAGTTGGTCAAATTCAGATACGCATAATGAAGAGAATGCAAGACTCAAAACAAATATACAAGAACTTATTTCTAACATTCCTATCAATTATGTGCCAGTAATGATAGCTAATGACTATATTAACTTTGATAATTTGCTTTAGACAGAAGAAGTTGTTATCAATGAGAAAGCTATTATTAAAGAAATTCTCTAATCATTTGATTCTGAAAATAATGCAGATAGTGATATTGAAGTTAAAAAGATTCCTTATGCTATCGCATTAGAGTAATGTAAATTACTTTTACAATATGTTAAACAACAAGATCCAGTAATATTTGTATAGGAATCAGACTTGCCAAGATTATGGAGTCTATTGTGACATATTCAAGAAGAAATAATCAAGATAAAGCAACAAAAACAATTGATCAATTTTTTTTAAGTTTGGGGTTCAGGTTGAAGTGAAGAAAATATAAAGT